GAATCGCTTATCGATAGATCGGGAACTTCACGGGACCGATAGCTCTCTTTTAGGTTGAGTCGGAGATGGGATGGGTTTTATCGTTGAGGACGGAAGGCCGAGAGAAGACGCAATCGTAATTTCGGCAATAATTTTTATTGTTCCCGGTACACGCACTTCGAGTGCGGTTTTCAATACTTCGCACGCGTCGATACGTTAAACGATATCCCTTACCCCTACTCGGGTTTCTCATATGATTTCCGCGCGACCACTCCGCATGCGATATTCCCGGCACGACAAGTTTACTAATCTAACACGCAACCAAATGGGAGGTCTTACAAAAGTTCGGGCTCTTCCTCGCCTCCACTTCGGGCCTGCAGTCTTGTACGCTGGTGGCAACTCCCGCTACTGCCGCTCCGTGGACGTGCTCCGTAGATGGCTTGGATCGGGTATCGGTCACTCGCCGCCGAGATTTTCCGCAATAGGATTTCGTCCTCGAGAAAACACAATAACGAGAGATCGCGAAACAGTTGGAGTTCCGACAGCTAAGCTCCGGTTTCATCAAATGAGATCGCGACAAACTCTGGATTTCGATTGCTAAGCTTCGGTTTCACCAACTTGGATCGCGGCAAAAAAGTCTCTCCTCTTCGCTCTGTCGTTTTATTCTCTTTCCGTCTAGTCTCCCCCCCCCTCTCTCTCTCTCTCTCTCTCCCTCTCTCTCTTTCTCTCCCTCTCTCTCTCTCTCTATCTCTCTCTCTCTCTGTCCTGCCTTGCCGGGATTTCATTGTTTCCGCGACACCTGTTTGGTTATCGGTCGTCGTCTGCTGTTGAGGGTTTGCTTCACACCTCTCCTTCCCGCGTCTAGCAGCGTTGCTGTAAACAAATATCGCCAGCGGCAGCCGAAATCGGAACGGTAACACGTTCTTATGTGAGGAGAATTAAAGTGCCGTTATCCACGTACCATTTAAACGGTGACTTTCCCTGGGAGTGAGTCCCTTCCTTCTTCTTGTTCCCTCAGTATCCTGTGGCCTCTTCCCTTCGTGGTCGGCGAGGTGAGTTGGGGCACATTTTTTCGGAACGCGTTGATCATTCCACTTGAGGGACCGCATTCGCTTCGCCAATTGATACATCTACGCTCGACCGATAGGACCGCGGAAAGCCATCGGTCCTAGTCGCGAAAAAGAATCCGAGAGCACTATGTAAACCCGCCCGGTATGCGCAAAACCGAACGGACGGAGCCGTATTGCCTTTGTGACGGGCGCCTTCGGGTCGCCGCGTCACAATGAACAGCGAAATGTATCTGACAAATATTTGCGAGCGATAATAAATCAATTGCTGAATACGGAAGAAAATATAGATGTGACAAGAGCAGATGCTCAGGATGCAGCAAAAATTGTTAACCGTAAAATGCAGGAATATAATAAAGATCAGTTCGATCGAAGGCACAAGAAATGTAGTAAATATAAAGTAGGCGATTTAGTGCTGGTTAGAATGCTACATCACAAAATAGGAGTAAATCAAAAGTTAATACCGAAATATAAGGGGCTATATCAAATCAAAGCTATATTGAATAAAGGTCGTTATGTAGTTACTGATGTCTCAGGCTTTAATATTTCACATAAACTGTATAACACGATTTCGTCGGCAGATAAGTTAAAACTCTGGATTCGTATAGGAAATAATGGAAATGTTAATTCTAATGTTGATGAGTTTAACTTACTGAATGCGTCAAATGAGTTATGAACATGTTTTATTTAATTAATGTAATGTGATGTAGGAATGGCGATGATAATGATTTTGTACGTTGTTGTGAAGTTGTGAAATCCTTTTTTTTATTATTGGTATTTGTTTGGCATAATTATTATTGTACAAAAAAAGAAACTTATATGTATACAAATGGTCGACATGATACGCAGGATGACCGAAACTGTAAGCGGCTTCTTTAAAGTTGATGTATCGAAGTTAAACAAATGAGTTATTGCTTGGTAGAGGAAAACGTTTTGGAAAACGAATAGGTATATATATGGAGGAACAAGAAGTCTCACGCAGAGAGAAAAGAGAGTGAGAGAAAAGAGAAGGATGTAACTGAGGAGAAAGAATAAAGGAAAACTCAAAGGTGTCAAGTCGTGAGGCCGTGGTGGACTGTGGTTGGCCGAAAGACGGAGCTAATCAGAGTTTACAGCAATTAGCAATAGCTGCATAGTGTTACCTATATGGAACACCTATCATCCAAGTTTATTTTTTCAATAAATCAAATTTTTTATGTATTCTTTTAGCATGTTTGGTATTGCCAGACTAAAAGATTGCTCGAATTAATAATTTAACTTTTACAATTATATTTTAAATAAATAATTCGTTATTAATAAATATACTATAAAAGTGTCATTTTTAGCGAATAAATTTGTTTGTATAAAATTTTGCTTAATAAGCTATAGTTTAAAATTACTATTTAGAAAGTTTTGAGGTCACTAATTATGAATCAGATATCAAAAATACAAAATTCAAAATGGGGAATCCAATATGACGGTCAAATTTTCAAAATCGACCGGATTAGCTTGAAACTTATTATCTGCAGGTTTTTGTGATCGCTAATTACGAATCTAAAAGTACAACATTCAAAATGGCGGAAAAAATTATTAAAATCGACAGAACTCGCTTGAACTTGTTATTCGGGGGTTTTTATGATCGTTGATTACGAATCCGATGTCACAAATACAAAATTTAAAATGGTAGATACAATGTGGTGAATAAAATTCGTATTTTCGGAAGTTTCGAGTAACGATCATATAATAAATACATACAATAACATAAATAAATATAAAACGAAAAGTAAGCTTCCGTTCTAGGAGGCTGCCGGAAGTGCCGCGCGACAGTTCTATGAAAGTACGCGTTGAGATATTCAACGCCTTTTCGAAGGTTCATTATCAATTATGGTATTACTCTTACTTTCATCAACGTACGAAAGATTATAAATCTCTGTGATAATTTTAAAGGCAGATTTATCATATATTCACCACCTGAAAAAAAATAGTAGGGACTACTATAGTATGTATAATATAGGGACTATTTCAGCAAGAAAGCTTAGAAAAAAAAATATATATGCACAGTTTTTTAAAGACATTGTGACGAAGCGATACGTGGTGGAGCGTAAACGCTCCGTTACACCGGCTCAGTTGATTAGCAATCGGGCCACACTTTACGACGCTGAGCGCCGCTTTAAGCTTGCCATACGGCATCCATGTGATCCCGTCGTAGCAGAGATGCAAGATTTGGTCCGCTTACAGCGTGACGTAGGCCACGCATACAGCAAGCGACTGTGTTTATGGTCTACGTCACGCTGTAACCGGACCAAATCTTGCATTTCTGCGTCGTAGTGCCCTAGGTAGGGCTAGTGAAACAATGGGACTCACGAATATTTAAGCCGCTCGCCCGAGGCACTGAAAATCATTCGTCTGGCTGTCGCTGCGGCCAGACCAGCCAGAGCTGCTAGTTCGCCAAATTTTCTCCGCGACAGGAAGCCTTCTGCGCATATGTGAACGATACGATATCCAATAGCAGACTGCCACGAGAAATAAATAATTTATCAAACATTTCAGACTAACAATCTGATATTTCGTAACTAAAAAAGCGATTGATTTAGATAATTTAGATGATTTAGATAATATATTTTTTTTATATAATTTCTATACAATTTCTTATTTACAATTTTGTCGGATATTCTATCAGACAATTTTAAACAGGATTGTTAAATTTGAGCTGAGTTTTTATTTAACAGCTATCAGAGTTTTTATCTTCAAAAATTTTTAGCCAGAACATTCTTGCTCAAAAGATCAAAATTTCCATTTTGAAACATCTGGTGTCATTTTCTGCACGTTTATGGATTACAGCACTTTTACTCAAAGCAGAATAAATTATTTCTGCAGTGTCAGTAGTGTTGTTTAATTGAGATGTGAGAAGAATGCAATACTAGTACTTTAAATCAGAGCTCGGAATTAGTTGTCCATTTCGGCCGATTCTCGGGAGCTACGCCTTCTATCTTCCCCTTGCCGCGAGCAGGCCACGAAAATGACGGTCGCGGCCAGTCGCGTCTTCAAGCTTGGAGGCTCGACCGTCACTTTTGTGGCCCGCTCACGGCAAGGGGAAGATAGAAGGCGTAGCTCCCGAGAATCGGCTGAAATTGGCAACTAATTCCGAATTCTGCTTTAAATAATGCTTTATAGATACTATTGTTATTATTTTATAAGATTATATCATCTATTTTACAAAAGCACATGGTGTTTTGAAAACGTAGAGATCTATATTTGCAAATCGCTAAAAGGTTAAAAAATACAAATTTAATTTTATAATGAAGTTATAAGACACTTCGCAAATATAAAGGTACTTAACAAATATGATGAAGAGATTAAACATTTGAATAATAATCTTACGAATCATAAGCCTTTAAACAGCTACTATATTAAATTACTTTTAGAGGTAACTTTATTATCTCAATAATATAATAGTAGATAGTAGTAATGCAAATTTTTCGAACTTTGAAATTTTTGCGATATAAACGATTCACTATAGTGAGATGACGACACGAAAAGACTGACATATGAATTAAAAATATAATGTTAAGTTCATGTAATCGCCTTTATGAACGTTAAAAACAAGTTATTGTGAGTTAAAGATTAAGTTAGTCTACTCGGATAGCCCAGAGAATTAAAAAAGAATTAAAAAAGAATTAAAAAAGAATTCAAAAAGAATTCAGTTGTATGTCACCAATTCTGAGTTCATTTTCAGATGCAAAAAGAATTCTTCCAAGTTCAGTTCAGTAGAAATTCTTTTTGCATCTAAAAATGAACTCAGAATTGGTGAGATATGACTGAATTCCTTTTGAATACTCTGTGCTATCTAGGTATCTATCAAACTTTGTACAAAATTACATATTTAATATTTTATGTGATATGAAACATTTCTTGTTAATATCCAATATTCTTTTAGTAAATTTGTACTTAAAAACTTTATTCTTTTTATTTCAGAAAATTAATCGTATATGATGAATGGAGCTCCCTTACTATACATGTTGCATTAGATAATACTTTAATAATCAATGATATTTGTAAGTATACAATTAAACTATATTTATTACATATTATATACATGATACATATATATATATATATATATAAAGTGTAGTAAAAAGAAATCCATTATTTTTCCAATAGATGGCTTTAGTAATCTCGCGTTGTATAAGTGCAATCGGTTTACGCTAGATGGCGTTAGAAAGATAAGATTTCGTACTAAAAAAACTTTTCAGACAGTTTTGTGATTGTTTGACTCAGTATTGTTTGAGCGCGCGTCAAAGATGGACACCAGTAAAGAAAAAATACACCATATTTTACAGTTTTTGTTCGATAAAAGCGAAAACGCAAGCCAGGCAGCTGAAAATGTGAATAGTGTTTATGGTCCTGATACTGTAACAGCCAATCACGCGTAATTTTGGTTTCGTCGATTCCGTTCCGGTAATTTTGATGTCAAAGATGCACCACGCTCTGGAAGGCCAATTGTCGAAAATGTCGATAAAATAATGGAAATCGTCGAGTCCGACGGTCATGTAAGCACTGTTTCGATTGCCCAGGAGCTAAACATTGCACAAAAAACCGTTTGGAACCACTTGAATAAGGCTGGATACAAAAAGAAGCTCGATGTATGGGTGCTACATGAGTTAACGCAAAAAAACCTCATGGACCGAATTTCCATCTGCGAATCGCTGCTGAATTGCAACAAAATCGACCCATTTTTGCAGCAGATGGTGACTGATGGTGAAAAGTGGGTCACTTACGACAACGTCAAGCGAAAACGGTCGTGGTCGAAACGCGGTGAGCCGGCGCAAACGGTGGCCAAGCCAGGACGGTCAGGAAGGCTTTGCTGTGTATTTTGGTGGGATTGGCAGGGAATCATCCACTATGAGCTGCTCCCCTACGGCCAAACTCTTAATTGGGACCTGTACTGTCAACAATTGGACCGTTTGAAGGAATCAATCGCCCAGAAGCGGCCAGCTTTGGCCAATAGGAGAGGAATTGTGTTCCATCAGGACAACGCCAGGCCACACACATCGATAGTGACTCGCCAGAAGCTCCGGGAGCTTGGTTGGGAGGTTCTTATGCATCCACCTTATAGTCCGGACCTGGCACCAAGTGATTACCACCTGTTCCTGTCTATGGCGAATGATTTTGCTGGTGAAAAATTCGCCTCAAGAGAAGCTTATGAAAATCGACTGTCCCAGTTTTTTGCCAATAGGGACAAGGGTTTTTATGAGAGAGGCATAATGGAATTACCTTTAAAATGGCAACAAGTTATCGAATAAAACGGTGCATATTTGACCTAAATCGGATCATTCTAACTATGCTAAATAAAACCTTCAATTTCAAAAATAATGGATTTCTTTTTACTACACTTTATATGTACATATAGGGTGGGTATAAAGTTACTTCTCTATTTTAAAATTCCGTTAAAACTATAAAATTGCTCGTCCGATTCCAAAAAGATTTATCATGGATATTCAGGGCACTAGTAAGTTTTGTTGGAAATTAAAAGTAGAATTTTTTAGAACTTTCAAAGAACAACATTTTATAGCTATAATTATAATTTCTTATTTAGGTTTTATAAAAATTTTTGTTTTTCTTTAATTTTTTGAGAAAATAAAAAATTAACAAATATTTTACGATATAAAGGTAATTTCAATGTAATTGTTCAATATGCTGTCCATTATTCTCTTCGATTTTCTGTAGGCGTGGAATCAAATTGTAAACGGTGTTTTCGAGCATTTCAGGTGTTATTCCGCGAACAGCGAAATCTAATCGAATCGAATCCTTTAATTGGTCTAATATCTTAGGTTGACAAAGAAAAACTTTCGATTCTAAATAACCCCAAAACCAATAATTATATGGTGTTAGATCAGGTGAACGTGGTGCCCATTCCATTGGAAAAAATCGAGAAATTATTTTGTCATTTCCAAATGTCTCACGAAGTAAATTTCGAAGTGAGGTGATCGTGTAGGGAGTTGCTCCATCTTGCATGAATGTAACTTCATGAAGAATATTTTGGACTTGAAGTTGTGAGATAACAAAATCTTGGGTCATCTGAAGGTAACGTGTATCATTTACAGTAACCATGACAAAGGATCCATCTGTTGCCAATTCTTCAAAAAAATATGGTTCAAGAATGAATTTTGCTGTGAATCCACATCATACCGTCACTTTTTTTTTTATCATGAAGTGGTTTTTTAATGAAAGCATATGGATTTTCTTGAGACCAAATTATGCAATTTTGTTAATTAACACCACCTGACATTTCACTCTGTCAGGTGATAGTATTAATTAAAAAACTTGCATAATTTGGTCTCAAGAAAATCCAAATGTTTTCATTGAAAAACCACTTCATGATAAATTCGTGACGATATAATGTGGATTCACAGCAAAATTCATTATTGAACCATATTTTTTTGAAAAATTGGCAGCAGATGAATCCCTTATCACGGTTACTGTAAATAGTACACGTTACCTTCAGATCTATAATCCAAGATTTTGTTATCCCACAACTTCAAGCCCGAAATATTCTTCATGAAGTTACATTCATGCAAGATGGAGCAACTCCGTACACGACTCCTTTCGAAAGAGTGACCTCAAAAATAGCCTGTATTTTCGCTCTCGATTCCGGACTTTATTTTGGTGACAAATGATAATAAACCATAAGACACTGATCCTCTGAAACTTTCAAATTGAGCCTATTTTTTGTTGCCAAGTTATGAAGCCTCAAAGTTGTCATTTTATATCGTGTTTCTTAAAACGGATCTTTGCATGTGAATAGCTTTTAGGCAAAACATTTTGGAGATAAATATTTCAGACAAAAGTTCTAGGTTGTCAAACACAGAATGATGACCTTCACTGTGACCTTGAAGACATTCCTAAAGGTCATTTGGAAATCAACTTTCAGATTTTTAATGTAAACTCTGCTTACGATCCGGCGTACTTGATTAACGTGAGTCGCCTCGCCTCTCACAAATCGGAGTGCTTGATTATTGTGAATCCCCTCGCCTCTCACAAATTGGGGTACTTGATTTTTGTGAGTCCCCTCGCCTCTCATGTCTCGGGGTGCTTGATTAGCGTGAATCCCCTCGCCTCTCACGTTACACGAAACATATGTAAATATATTTATTTTAATATATCGTTTTAATCTTGTTTTTTTTTGGAATGGTTATTGACTTTGCATATGTTTGGATTGGGTATTTCTACCCCATTGTATTGACCGTATCCAAAATACCATACAATCGTCATTATATGACTGCAATACTCAACAGTTCGAGATCCACTTTCACAAGTATAATAGTACTAGATTGCTTCTTTTGCGGCTTTAGACTTGTCGACTAGCACAAAAATGTGGTGATTTTTCCCGCTATGATATCGGGATTTCATGTATGCTCTTACTAGGAGCGGATCTGTGATAGAGATCCCATGATTGGCATAGTCTAAATTGGAAGTCTGATGTCTTGAACTTGGTTCAAACTTCTGCACAAGAAAGATTCGCTCTTTTTGGTGCTACGCATAGTAAGAAATTGCATTTTTCAGTTGATATGGTCCAAGGCTGATATAATACAAGTCATTAATAGTTAGTTGTGGAAACTGAAGGAGACGATTATTTTCTTAATTATTAATTGCTGTATAGTTAAGCTCATTAAAAGGAACTTTGACTTTAGAAAGATTGTACTGCTCAACTATATGTTTTAAACGATTTGGGATATTTAACTTAGATTTCATCAAAAGTCCGATGTTTTCATGCGTTTTATCACTTAGCATTGGTTCATGGAATAAGTTCAGCAGTGCAAAAACAATTAGCAGAGACTGATAATCATGTAGTAATGTGGCGTTATGGGCTAGCAGAGCAAACATTTTGAATTTTTTCTTCAATCTACCAAAGACTTGCTCAATAATCCATCGGATTTTTGTGACAAATCTTGCCATATTTGCCTCATATGTATCACGTTGACCTGTGCTAGGAATATGTACAAACAGCTTCCTTTTTTTAGATCTTCAACAATATCTCGAAATATATTATTCACAAAAAGAACATCATTTTCCTGAAGAACAATAATTCTGACAATATATTTTGGTATTTATCAAAACAGTCATTAAGTATCGTAGCATCATTATGAGTTGCGTCAAAGGTCCTAAAACAAATAGAATATAGCCGTCAGGAGCACACTCAACCATAGACTTTATAAGCGGCATTTTTTTTGTTCGCTCCATAGTTGTTTTTGGCCAGCAAAATTCTTCGACTTTTGTACCAATCGATACGTAGCATCAAAAATGCAGGCACCATTTTTATTAGAAATATCAAACAGTGTTTTTGCCATAGGAGTATTATGATTTAAAAACACTACTCGATCGTTTTTATTAATGAATTTCGGTACTAAATTATGAAGCAAATCTTTTCTAGATATTGTCCTTTATCCATTAGTTATTGTTTGTTCATTACATCAAAATAAAAAAGCCAATTGTTTATTCGAGAGAGAAGTACATAATTTACACAGTAAAAGAGCTACATGTGTAAGTTTACAAGTTAAAGTAGTAAAGTTGTACATTTTTTCAAATTGGCTTTTATCGAACGCGAACCAGTCTTTGAAAGTATTGTCATTAATAGAATTGATATTATGTATATCGAAAAGATACTTTACATTCATTTCAGAGTCATGGTAATAATGAAACATAAGTTCACTAATAGTTTTTTGATCTTCAAGTGCTACTTCCCGTATTATTTGTTTCACAAGAGGCCAATAATTATCAATAGCCACATGTTCAGAACACATGCGAGCATTAGAAAAACTTATAGTTCAAATTATAGTTAAGTAGTAATCGTCGTATTATCTGGAATTGCAATTAAGTTCTCTACATTTTTACAACCAAATGTACAATGTGTGTGAGTTTGAGCCTCTTCTGTAAATTGTTAAATCAGGAGTATTATTTACTGAACACGCAAGGTTATTACGTGTCACATCGTAGCAAAACCTGCAGATTTTACTAGCTACTGAGATATTATTGATTTCATTCAGTTTTCTTTGTC